GGTTCACTAAGGCATTATATGGGCCTAAGTTTCATCTCTACTGTGATCTCCTGAACAGCGCCTGAGAGGCGTTCAGCTCCAGGTAACTCACTGTCACAAGGGTACCTCGCAAAAGGAACAAGCAGTGAGGAAGACTCATATAAGGCTTAAGCGAGTGTGACAGATGCAGACGAAGAGTTATGGAGTTACCTGTGAGGCATGGGGGACTGGAATAGAGGCTGTTCGGTTCTAGGTGGAGTACATGTGGAAATGGAAGATGAAGCTTGGCTAGTTTTGCAGAGATCTGTAAAGGTTTTCCAGATCATAAGGTTGTAGAAGGAATCGAAGTTACTTGACTTACGAGGAAGAATCAGAGGCTGATGTAAAGGTAGAGGCTTCAAGGTTTGGTTATAGAGACGTAAGATGAGTTATATCAGAGGGTTTTGGCTTAGATAGGAGTTGAAGGGTCAGCTCAGGTTATCAGAACAGAGACGACGGAGGCATCAGAAAGGTTGCAAGTACCAGAGACAGGAAGAAGCTGAAGAGTCGGTGATTAGAACTTCGAAGGTTACTCAGATCTCAGATGATCTTTTCACTGAATCGTCAAAGGCAAGAGACGAGGAGGGTGAGAGATGTTCCTGAGGAATCTGAGAGGATAATTGCGGTTCAACGACTGAGGCGAATCGTCGGAGCTACGGCTGGACCGGAGAAGTTCCACCGTGCTTCGCCACTAAAGAGAGAACAAGCAAGAGCAGCAGGGGCTTCACATTTCGGGTTGAATGGTTGTCTGATTCCAAAGGTGGAGTTTGTGGATCCTGTTGGAAACAGACTTGGGTTTCAGGATGCCAAGGCCCATTTGACAGCAAGAGTTAGAGAGACAAGTAATGGCTCAAGAGGAGGTTGTTGCATCTCCAAGGCAAAGAGGAAAAGGAAACAAGAAGAAAAAATAAACAAGGGATCTATATAAGGAGGAAGACTTCTTTGAGATCATTATCACGTTAATTACAAATTTCTTTTTACACTTAGGGTTTACTTCTTTAACCTAAGTTTTTCTTCTTTAATCTCTCTAAGAAATCTCTTGTAAGAAACCCTAGACTAAAACCGCCAAGGATAAGGCGTGTGTATTGCTCTTGTTCTTTCTAGTGGAGTTTGGGATCAAGAGTATCCCACGAGAAGTACCAGCGTGATATGTCCTAGATTTTACCACTTTTACTATATATTTTACTATGTTTTCATTGCATTTATATATAGTTTTATACCGTTAAAGATAGTTTTCTTGTATTTGTAGTTTTATAGTCTAAACAGGGAAAAAGGAGCAAAAAGAGCCAAAAACGGTGTAAACCAAGCTACAACAACTTTCACAAGCTAAAGACACTACCAAGACCAAAGAATTCACAAGATACAACATTCTACCAACTTGGACAGAATGTATATGTCAGAAGTTTAGCAATAAACGAAGGATCAAATCAACTTGGTAGAAAAATAGATATTTGAGTTAACTTCAGAAGCCAGTTTTAATCATCTCAATTGGAGCTGTGAGCAGAAAGATACATCGGAATTACTGAAGACACGTCAAGCTGCCTCTGAAACGAAGCAAGTGCAGAATCGACTCAAACACCGGGCCGCCTCGTGGACCGTTGTTCCAGACCGATGCAAATCAAGGCAATTTGGGCCCAATACCGGTCGTGTTCTTTGGCCGACATTGCCAACCGACTTTGGAGCAACTTTTGACATAAAAGACCGTTTTGCCCTAAAGTGAACCCTAGAAGACCCTAGACCTATATACTTGTTTTTAGCCTTTTGTTAGGGATATACCGAAACAATAGAGTAGTTTTTATCATAAGGAGCAGCCACTACGAGTTCTCTTGGTGTTCTTCATTAGCTTTGGATTTTAGAGCACTTGGCGGATGATCTCGCTTTGTATTCTATATAGAGAAGAATCCTTTACATTTACTCTTTAATTCAAGTTTATTTATCATGAATTCATCATCTATCTC